TGACAAAGTTGAAGAATAAAATGCTGAGCTTCCACACAAATACAATTATTATTCCTATTCCAACAACAACAACTTGCATTTCTTTAGCGCTCTTCACAAAAGTAGCATCTCGGAGCACTTAACAGCAATGTGGTTTGACACAGAAGTGGAAAGCGAGAGGAGTTGATTGGAGTCGCATCGGAAGAGGAAAGTCTTTAGATGTGATTTGACGAGAGGCAAAGAGGGAGCAAGGTGGAGAGATTAAGGCAGAGAATTCCATTTTCTTTGCAAATGTTTGTAAAATCTCCCTCCCCACACACACACTCACAGTAATGGTGGATTTCTTCCACTTAAGTACATTTTTTATTTCACAGATCCTCATTATGCTCACCTTAGCTAATGAGGTATTTTGCAAGTTCTAGCTGTATCTCATCCTCAGTTGTGAGAAGCTGTGAATTGACTTCCCACGGAGTCCTGTATCAATCACTTGATAACATTTGCCTGTGAAGTTCTTTCAGACATTTTGGTATTGTGGAGTCCTGCAGCTCAGTGGCTTGAGCACTCGCCTTGCAAGCCAGACACCTGGGTTCAATTCCAGGCAGGGCGAAACCTTGGGCAAGTTTCCTTACTCCACACGCCTAATAATAATCCCTCCAAAAACAAAAAAAAGATAAATTGGTCATTTTCAATCCACGACTGTTTGTGGGACACTGCTGTGTGCAATTGGCTGCCACGTTTCGCCCACAAATATATGGTTTATTCACTTTGCAGTCTATTCTGTGAAGCGCTTTGAGACGTCAAGAAGACGTAAAAAGCACTATATCAAATGCAAGGATTATTATTATTATGCAGACTGGTTGGCAGCTGTGAGTGCTTAATAATTGTTCATCCTCAGACAAGGGACTTGGACTCTCCAGCTATGTTAAATGAGTGAGATTCTGATTTTTAGTTCTTTATGGTACAACTGATCTATCAATTATTAATTATGCCTGTATAGAAACTTTCAAAAACATTAAAGCTCATGCAATGAATGGCAAATTATGAAATTGGATGGAAAATTGGCTTAGCAATAGATAACAGAAGGCGATGATAAATGGTGGAAACAGCCTGGGGCAGCAACAAGCAGTTCTGCAAAGGTCCGTGCTGAATCCTTTGCTGTTCACACTATCATAAATAACTTAAAGGAGTGCATTTATAACATTACAGTATTTGCTGGCAAGACTAAACTGTGGGGAAAAGTAAATTTACATAGATTTACATAGATTATACAGCATGGAAACAGGCGATTCAGCCAACCTAGTCCATGTCGATGTTTATACTCCACATGAGTCTCCACCCAATCCTAAATCTCTCCCATACCCTCCTATTCCCGTCTCCCTTATCTGTATATCAATCATGCACAAGACTAGAAAATGAATGTACAAAGATCATACCCAATTAAGTCAAACAACTAAAAGTGGTAGATGGATACAATATTAATTTGAACAAATGGAAAGTGAGGCATAGTGAACCATGTCCACAATGCATGTATGTGTCACATTAGCAGAAGGTATAATTATTGATCATGCATCAAAGGTTTCCAGTCAGTGTAGCTGCTGTTAAAAATGGTATTCAGTTGCATCACAAGGATATCTAACTAAAAGTCCAACAACAGTATTCTAACCTTGTATATATCATTTGGATTACCTGGTGAAAATTGCAGAATTTCATGTAATTATTAGTGGGTATTATTATTCCAATTAGTGGGACATGCAGTTTCTCCTAGTGTGAGGTGTAAGAGGAGGGGCATGTTATGAAATGAAACCCAGCAATCCTTAATTTACAGTCATATTAGACATGTGCCTCAGAACAGCCTTTTTGCATTGCATCACGCTGCCAGATGCCATCTTTATTTTCCAGTCACCTTCATAATTTGAGGTCCTGTTGTTTTTCCAGGATATAGTATTAAATACAACTAAGAATTGATTTAGTTAATTTCACAGTGTACAAATCTTAATCTTATCAATACCGGAGAGAAGTAGATAATGCCTTAAGCATTGCATATTTTGCTTTCATAGAGATAGTCCTATTTTGGATAGGGGGAAGAATTTTTAAAAAATCTATACTGTTGCAACTACTGCTTAGAAGTCAATTAACTTTACTGGTAAATGCCAACAAAACTTTGAAACAGATATATTTATGTAATCGGAAGAAAGTGACAGCTATAAAAGGTTTACTTTATAGGTTATTTTTCCAAAAGCCAAGAATTGAGATTGTCAGGCAAAGCAATAGTCTCAAGATTGTGGCTTCTGAGAATCAATAGAAGGAACTTTACTGAGAAATCAATTTTTCCAATTAGTGGGTCGTGGATGCCCAGTGGGACATGCAATTTCTCTTACTGTGAGCTGCAGGACGAGGGGGACTTAATTAAGTCAAGAGAGCTTCTTCAGAGGCAGACTTGACTCCTTATTCCATATTAATATCGCACAGTCTACTGAAGGTGTTACTTTTCAACTTGACTCAATACAGCATGTTCAATTTTTTTGGCTTTTTTCCTTTCGCCCCCCACCTCCCCCCAACCCCCCACAATCTTCTTTTTCTTTGCAAATGCAAACATTTAGCACTAATCAATCAAACACAACATTTAAATGATCTTAACAAGATTTATCTGCTGCAGTCAGCAGACAAATGTTGTCCTCATTTCCACCCCAGGGGAGAGGATACTTTTGAACTGTGGCTGAATAATGAAACCAGCAGAGTGCTGAAATAGCTGGAAATCAATGCACACTGCATGATCTAATGGCAGGAATGCAAGTCACCATTGTGGGAATTTCTTGAATATTCCTCTTCAATCATGAAAAGGATAATGTATACTTTTCTTTTAAAAATAACTTGCTATGTGTTTTTTTTATACAGCTTCTAATTTACTCTGATTTTACAGATTGCTTTATAAGGGAAAAAATGCCAATTCATTTTTGACTGGGTGCAATGTATAATTCATTTTGATTGAGGTGGCTTTATGTCGACACAGACTCTTAATTTTGAAGTGCTGACTCCAGGTGGAATCAATATATTGAGCCCAAAAGGAAATTATTGGCAAAAAGGGCAGAATTCTTGAAAAATAGTGCCTTCATTTCCAAGGGATTGTTATTTCTTTGAGGAATTTTTACATCTTGCCATTCACTATTTGTACCCTTGATTCCTTATGATTTTCAGAGACTTTTGTGAGCCAAATCTGAAATGTACTCCAAATATTTTGTTATATAGCTGAAGGTTGATTACAACCAATTATACAGTTTAAGTGTTTGGATCTACCAAAGAAAAGTTACAACCAGCCTTATTCGCCAATGGTTTCTCTGCCAGCCCCCCCATAATCTTGTGTGGTGTTGTTAGAGGCTCTGACCTTGGTCCCCTCCTCTTCAACTTCTACATGGTCCAGCTTGGTGACGTCATCTGCAGACATGGCCTCGACTTCCACATGTATGCGGATGACACCCAACTCTATCTCTCTACCTCCATCCTCGATTTTTGAAGGAATTCTTACCCCTGGTAAGAATTCGCCAAACGACTAACTACCGGGTTCCTACTTACTGCTAGATAAATGGAGGCGTATGGACTAAGGAAACTTGCCCAACATTTCGCCCTACTGAGAATAGAACCCAGGTCTCTCGGTTGCGAGGTGAGTGCTCTGACCATTGAGCTACAGGACTCATCACAATAGAATTAAGGCATGCTATTAAAAATGACTGCACATTGAACTCAATTGCCTGGAATTTCGTTATGCTCCACTTCTATCATCGCTTCATTGAGGTTTTGGGTCAGATTTAAAAACTCCCGGTAAAGCATCAATAGGAGGTGGTTTTAAATCAGAAATGATTTGCATCAGCTTTTGTGCAAATGCAACAGATCCAACATTGATGACAAATATATTGTACAAAATCCTTTGTCACATTATAACCTTATGACACCAGTGTTAGAGAAAAGGGAACAGCCTCACTTTTTTCTCTAACCACTGTGTTATAATGTGACAAAGGATTTTGTACAATATGTTTGTTGATGTGTAAGATTGTAAGATTGTGGTTTTAGATCAGAAATGATTTGCATCAGCTTTTGTGCACCTGCAAAGATCCAGCATTGATGACTGGGCTTCACTTCTCTTTCTGACCACTGATGTTCTGATGTAATGAATGATTTGTACAATATTTTTGGTGACACCTAAGTTAGTGTGCAAAGAATTTCAGTAATGTGAATGTATTGGTGTGTAATCTGGTAGCCTCTAAATCAGATGGTTGGGGGTTCAAGCCCTAAGATGGGACTTGGAATTTATATAGTCTATATAGACCCTTAATCCATGTTTTCATTACATCAGGAACTATATCAACTAACTGCTTGATTTCTGCCCCTCCCGAAATTAATTAACGGTCTGAGAATGTTTTATCGGTGATGGGGATGTCCAAGACAGTAATGCCTCAGGTAACCACCACGTCAAGGGGTGACCTGAATGCGGGTCGCAGAGGTAATGTGGAGGTAGAGAGAAGGGAGGAGAAGTCAGCAGAGGTGGAGCCAGAGAGGTTGAAGTGAAGGTTGAAGTTGCTCAGGATGAGGAGACGTTCAGCGCACAGGCTGAGGAAAGATAGAAGGGCAGTGATGTCAGAGACAAAAATGTTGAAAAGTTTGAGGGAGGAATGAGAGATGAGAATTTCAAAGCAAAGGAATGTTCAGGAGGACCAAGTGTAGACCACGAGATGAGAACCACAGTCGTGGGGTATGATGGAAGGTATAACCAGGCAAATGACATCAGCGAGAGGAAAGGTGTTGCCAGAGTTGATGCCACCAACTGAGACAAGCTAACACCTAAATTGCCAGTGAACTTAATCCTGTGAAGTGCTTTGAGATATCTTCCCGAGGTGAAAGGAAATATCAGGATTGTTATTAACTTCTGACTTGCAATTCTCATTTGATTTGAATGTTTTATTGCCTGTATAAATGTATGTTTTGGTATCAGGTTTATATAGTGTTTCTCTTGATCTTTTTGTTTCCAGAATGGCTGCGGCTCCTCCCAGCTTCTGCTTTGTAGCTCTGCCACCTGCCACCGAAGCTGCATGTGTAATATTTGGGATAAACTCAGCAAGACCTAACAATGAAGTCCAGGAAGTAGTTTATTTTCCCACTACCTGTCATGAACCAGGATCCAAGGTTCAGGTAAGTGATCTGTTTGTGATATTACACCTTGAACGACTGCATAGTCTGCAAATAATAATAATAATCCTTGCATTTGATATAGTGCTTTTCAGGTCGGGAGGATGTCCCAAAGCGCTTCACAGAACACACTGTAAAGTGAATTGACTGTATACTTGTGGGCGAACGCGGCAGCCAATTGCACACAGCAACGTCCCACAAACAGTCGTAGATTGAAAATGACCAATTTATTATTGTTTTTGGTTTTGGAGGGATTATTATTAGGCGTGTGGAGTAAGCAAACTTGCCCAAGGTTTCGCCCTGCCTGGAATTGAACTCAAGTCTCTCACTTGCAAAGCGAGTGCTCTAACCACTGAGCTACAGGACTCCAAATCAGCAAAGCTGCATTCCTTGATCCTAGTATATTCTAGACCAGCGCAGCACCTACTCATTATAATCTCAAATATTTTGATGACCTTTCCTGTTTAATTTTTAGATGTCCCTGGGTCAGTTGATAACACTCGTCTGAGTTAGAACACGCCCTACATCAAGTCTCACATAGTCCAGCCTGACACTCTAATACAGTGCTGGGGGATTCCTGCATTATTGGAGTTGCCATCCTTCACTTTACAGTAAAATCCTGTGAAGCACGTTGAGATGTTTCGACATAAGATGCTATATCAAATGCAAGTACAGTATTATTAATAATAAATAGGGATTTTATTTTGATTCTGAATTTTTCTTCAGAAAGGCCTAATTTCTCTGTAACAGAAATGTTCTGCTCCGAAGAAGCTGAATACTGTCACGTCAAAATGTATCCATTCAAAATTGGATTTTCATGTGATAATGCACAGTATTGACATAATCCTTTTCACGTGAACTTTGGAAAAAAAGGAATGGTTTTACCACCTGGTATTGTTGACTGTGATTAGTATAGTCAGTGCATTTTAACAGTCTGTTCACAGATTTAATAGATGGAAAACTCAAGAGTACATAAATTATTTTGGAAAAAGTTGGATGCTTGAAAAAGAGAAGTATTAAAGGGTGTGAATAGCGAGTAGAAGAATTAGATAAGAGTAGGTGTTTCGTTTGGATAATGAAGCTCAGTATAGTCCCGACGGTCTGAATGGCTTGTTTCTGTGCTGTAGCATTCTTTGATGTCAGCAAAATTAGCACGTAGTCAGCGTCGCCACATAGACTGGCTACATGTATTCAGTGCAACATCTGACGTAATGTCTACAGTGAAAGAAATTAATGCATCAAAAGATTTTCCTTTGTCTCCACACTGATACATTTCTTTGGTTTATAAAAAGCTTCTGCCTGATTTGAGGTCTCATCACAACAACTACTATGCCAATTGTACAACTTAGTGTGATGTGGCACAGGCCCGCTTGATCTTATCAGTCTCCGTTCTCCTGTGCTTTTATCTGGTATTTGCTCATCTTTATTTTCTTTCCAATTTTAGTATTAATCCCTGCTGAAAGTGGTAGAGCTTTATTGTAGCAGTCTGAGAATGCATTTTGCTTCTGTGAAAGTTTCTTGTGGTGCTTATTTGTTGTTTGCAAATAATTGTTAATGTTTTTAAATTTATCTCCTGGTGTTTAAAAATGTAAACACATTTCAATTTCAGACTTGGTGAGAATTTTTTTTGACTGAGAGCCTTTTTGGAGATCAAGGTAGACCAGGACTCTAGCAGAAAATGTCTTCAATGATATTGTAGGAATTTTAATTTCCACCTGAACAGACAGTTTTTTTAGTGAGCCTGGTGTCTGACACATGTGGAAACCCATCACCATGCTTGAAAGTGCATCCCACCTATACATGGAAATTCCATCAAGACCTTGTTTAACATCTCATATTAAAAGATGGCACCTTTGACAATGTCCAGTACTGTACTCAGTACTCCAGTCAGGCCTCCATTGTACTGTGATATACATTACTGTACCATGTACCCAGTATTGTGCTATCTGCTTGGATTATGAGCTTGGGTCTCAGTGTGAGTGTACCAATGGAGCTAAACTGAAACTTGCATATAATTTTCATCTCTTTAGTCAGCACAGTACTTTTTTACATTACTGAGATTGTGCAGTTGCTGAATTAGACTAGATGAATCAATTGGAGAAAAACACCAGTGCAGACTTGATGGCCGAATGAACTTTTTCTGTGCTGTAGCATTCTATAAATCTGTATCGACTTTGCAGTTGTCTGAAATATATTACCAAAGCTATCCCTCTAGTGCATTAATTGTTAAACAAATACAATTACAAAAGACTCTAATTTCATTTTTGATTTTCATATTCTAGGTTCAGCAGAAAGTGAAGAGAACAAATGTCTCATTAAGTTGATTCCAGTATTTGCTTAGAGAAGAAAATGTCTGTTGTGTTATGAATGGAGACTCATTGCATTTCCACAGCCTAAATGCACGGGACAATGACCCTGGTTTAGTGAGCATTAGTTGACTTTGGACATTTGCTTTCAAAAGCCGAGGATTTTTNGGCAGTCTGTCTGGGATGGAGCTTGATATAGGCAGGAGAAGTGGTGCATAGTGGTTTGCTGCTGGTATTTCTGTAGTACATTTGAGGCTGTTCTGTGAAGATTTGTGGATTAATATATATTGAGGTTTATGATCTGTGTGGATTTTTTTGCATTGATACACGATAATATCTATTTTATGGCACTAAAAATAGTGATCTTTTCATTTTAGGGAACCTTGAGGAAACACATCACTATTTTTAGTGAGCATAACATTGACCTGCAACTGCTCGTATTTTGGGATATAAACATGGAGGCCTGACTCAAGTGCAAACAACTCTGGTGATTTTCTGATTGTGATCTTAGAGAATCAACAATTCTTCAGTGCTGGTTTGGATATTCTCTAACAACAAGTAGGTCATCCTCATCAAGACCACTTGATTGAAGCTGTGATTGAAACAAAAAAAGCCTCAATGTATTTAAGAGAGAGCTTGATACATAATAATAATAATCCTTGCATTTGATATAGCGCCTTATCAAGTCTTTGAGACTTCTCAAAGCGCTTCCCAGAATACACTGTAAAGTGAATTGATTATTTTGTGGGCGGATGAGGGAGAAAGGAATAGAGGGGTGTAAGAGAGAGGATTAGTAAGCATGGGAGTTCATATGGAGTATAAAAACCAGCATGGACTAGCTGTTTCTGTGCTGCATCATTCCAAGTAATTCTAAGTAACTATGTATAACATAGTTGATTGTAATAACCAGAGAATATTGGAGCATATTTGCAGTCCTAAATCTACAACAGTTTCTGAGAATTGAGACACAAAATGCATCTAGTCTTTCTTTATTGTTGTGTAATATCCAGCTGAAGTTACTTGAAATCTGCTTTCATCTCTTACTCCAAAAGCTGCTATCATATACTTGTGACAAAATATCTGAATATTGCATTCATCTGAAAAGAAACAGACAGGCTAGAGATTGAAGCTGATGTGAGACGCTGAAATTAAATAGTATATTGTGAGTTTGAATACATATTTATCAGGTAGTGAATTTAAGTTGCAAAGAAATCCCATGTTGACATACAAATTAGTTATTTGCATGCATTATATGAACTCCTACCAGAAATGAGCAAGTATAGTGAGATTGGTTGTCATGATAGCATAATGATAAAAATCTTTGGTAACAATGTGAGGTGCGTGTTCATTCTGTTCACAAGCTTATGGTTGGTGTTTCTACTCCCTGACAAATATTTACCAAAATATAATCTGTACTTGGTAAAGATGTAAATTTTCAACAAAGAGGAGAGTAGCTATCATTGGAGAGTCAGCAAATGGGTTACAGGTCCTGATGTGGAACTTAAACCCATGACCATCTGACACCGAGATGAGAGTGCTACCATTAGATCTGCAATGACCTACATCATCCATCCAATAAAAATGGTAGCTTCAGATCCTGCATGGGTGTGTCATATGATAACAAATAATTTGCAGTTTGCTCCAGAATATTAAAACTAATTTTATTGACCAAGAAAATATTAACATTTATCCTGTAAGTTGGCTGAATGACAAAAAAAGGAATATCATTAATACTGAGACCCTGGGCCAATCCTTTAAAGAACTATAAGCGGGAATTGATTCTGCTATGTTTTAATGAACAAAGGGTACATGTCAAAGAGTGATTTATCCACGATAAAAAGTATTGAGTGCTGCCAGTTGCATAATTCATCAGCCACCATGGCCATGATGTAAGTGATTTTTTTTTGTAAACTCTCAGTCCCTGGTGTATTCTGTTTATGGTATATGGTTCTTTTAGCCACCATTTAATTGTGTTCCATTCTGATTATTTCTGGAATACTTAATAGTACATAATTTAAAAGAAGCTGGGGAATAATGTGTAAAGTCAAATATTGGAAAGAGGCCTGGAATTGTGGGGGGGAAACTAAGCTTTCAACATTTTAACCAGAGTCCTGTTTATTAATAATATAAATAATAAATCATCCTTGCATTTGATGCAGTTCCTTTCACATTAGGAGGATGTCTCCAAGTGCTTCACGGGATTTTAATGTGAAGTGCATTGACTTTATTTTTGTAGGTGAACAACTAAATAACAATAACTAAATGGGTTATTTAGTTAGGCTTTACAAATCACCAATCCAATCCTCTGGTGGTAGTTTATGGATCATGGTGAGATATATGAAGAATGTGAGGAAGTGCGAAAAGAGAAACATTGTTCCTTCGAGACGTTGTGTGAAATCTACCCTGTCCTGCGTGCTGACCTTTCCATCCAATCCCCTGAGGGAAAATTCTCAATAAATATTCATTGATCTCAAGTTAATGGGGGAAAACTTCTAAAATGTTCAGCCGTTTCCAATATTCTACCCTGACGTGCCAGCATGTGTGGAAACAAAGCCTGTAAGCTATTTTAATAGGGAATTAAAAGGAAAATAATATTAAAGAGTAGGGGGTATGATTATACTGGGTAGCTTATGTGGAGAAAAAAAACATCAGAGTAGACTTAAAAGGCTGAATGGTCAAATGGCTTTACAGCACTCT